TTTTTGGACAAACATGGAATATACATTAATAATTAATAATAAAGAATCTCTAACAATAGCTCATAGAAAGCTACTTATTTCAGTATATTCTGGCAATTTGCATATCCATGAGCTGATACAAGATTTTACTTTAACAGAAGTAATTCTTTACTTAAGCCAAACAGTAATTTTTTGCTTTCATCTTATTTCTCTTTCATAGTCTCTGTGTTTTCCATTAGTCAACAGGATTTTGCAATTAGAAAGAACACGAGTTTAAAAGTCTACCTTCTTACATGAATGTAGAAGAACATGCTTTTCCAAGTATTTTATAGAATTTAATTGTTACTTTTAAATACATTTTCAGAAAGTAACTTCCAGTAAACAAAGATTTATTGTTACATAAATAAACAATGAGACAATTACAGCCTCTTTGTGGAGACCATATTAGTCACGCACGTCTAATGAAGCATTACTAAGCTATCGCAGGGAGATAGCCTGATGTGTGTGATTAACAAAATAATACTCATAAATAGCTAAGAACAATGATGGTCCTTTAAAAATCGTGCATATCCTTCTATATTCAGAGTTATGGGGGGGTTTAACCACTAAGTTCCACCCTGAAAAGGAGAATATTAACTAGAATAATGCAACTATTAAAATTGTGCATATCCTTCTATATTCAGAGTTATGGGGGGGTTTAACCACTAAGTTCCACCCTGAAAAGGAGAATATTAACTAGAATAATGCAACTATTTGCGTTTTTGCCTTCTACAGACCATGCTTTTGAAAATATCAAAGAACTGTCATGAAAGTCTACTAACAAAGAATGTATTTCAGCTTGAGATCTAATCAAGGTGAATACGACAGAATAAGTGGTGGAAAAATATATTCATATAATATGCAGCCATGAAATATCTGAAGTGGCACTAGGTAGAAAAAGTCTCAGTTTAGTGAGAATTGTGGTAGGCTTTTAAAGTTAAGAATGCTACGTATTGCCTTCAGGTGAGGTATATATTTGGCAAACATTCTGGAGAAAGCAAGTGGGATGACTGGCCAACATATGACAGTACACAAAAAAAGAAAAAATAAGGTTGAAACCCATGTGCAATGGCAGGTTTTGACATAAAATAGGAAAACATTCTGTTAGTCAAATTACATACAATTTTGGGACTCTCAGCAGCTCAACAAGTCTAACTCTTAAGGACTGATTTGTTCTGCCTACGCGAGCAGGCTCCTCCAGCAGATGAGTGAGTCTATCGGACAACATACACAACCTACAAACCTGCAGGGTTGATTCTGCTAAGTATGGCCCTTCCATCCCTTTCTAGACACACTGACAAGTGTTTGAACAGTCGCATGAATGGACCAATTTAGATGAATCCATGGCATAGAATGATGGAATATAAGAGAGGAGTGATTATTTCCATTGCACTGCTATATGTGAACTAAATGGTATGGCATCTACAGAGCAAACTCACAGCAAACCCTTCTTGTATTTTTCTTGGTGAGACAAAATCTTCCCAGAATGATATTCCACCTTCAACCCAATCTCCTTCATGGATAAATGTACTCAAAGGGCAGAATTCCTGATGGCTGGAATAACAGCGTTATTAAAATCAATATTTTTTGATGAATATTAGGTCTGGAACATATTAAGGAGAGCCATAAAATACCAGGGGAAAAACCTTGCTTATCATTTTCAGTAGTAACCCAACTACAGTCTTTCATCTGCAACGAATTATGGAGCAATTCCCTTAAATCATCTGTATGAAGTCAGTTATGACACTGCCAGTTTTAAAAATTTTGCTAGTTTTGAGCTACAAACTGAGTTTTTATTGTGATAAATTAAAATCCAACAATGGCCTAAGATACTAAACATACAGAAGCCCACATTTTTTCCCCTGGGCATTTTTTCTCTATCACATCAGATTGACATTGTGGCAGACAGGATAGCAATAGCCAGTGACAAAAGTTAAGAAAGGACACTCCAGAGAGGTAAATAATCTTTCCAAGTAAACAGCAAATGACTGCTCTGGCCCAAAATATCCTTTTGGGAATTCCAAAACCATGACAACACAACTAAGGGAGAAAGCATTGTAGGGGGCAAGGAGGGCTGTAAAAGGAGGAGAAAGCAAATCCAAGATTATCCAGGCTCTTCCCTAATAAGGGCATATTTTTTCCCCTGTTACATGAATGTGAACATTGGTCTTAGACTTTATATACGCTTAAGTTTAACCCAGATATCAGAAAATCTGTGTGAGCAAAACATAACCTTTTTGCAAGCACTTTTGCTTCCTTCCCATCAAAAAAGCCAGGCTGAGCAATTGTACATCCCCAGTTTTGCCAGCTTGTGGGATTTTCCCTGTTGCTTCTAAATCAAGGATGAGATTATCAGTGCATCACCTAATTACATCATCCTTATTTTGCCTTATAGGAAGCTCCACGTTATAGCAGTATTGCAGCTTTCTTTGGGGATTACTTAAGCACATAGACATCAGTGTGAGACTACACAGGCAATATTATTTACTACTACAACAGCTGACATCTCTTAGCATTACACCAGGATGAGCCAAAGCTGTACTGGCTGAGACACAGTGCATCACTCATAAACATGGGTCTCTTGTGCTTTGGAAAGCACCTTGCCTCAGTAGTGCTCCTGTGGGCTCAGGGATCCCAGAGACACTGTTGGAGCCTGTCCATGACCCATTGCTGATGTTAACCACTGTATTTCGGATGTTAAGACTGTATGTGACTACCAGCAGGAACAGGAATGAGATGGCAACTGTAGGCTGGCAAAGCAGAGAGAGGCTGGATGAGAGATTATGAGAAGAATAGGTCCAGCATGTGATACTCTGGGACACGGAGAGACCCAAGCTGGGGGAAAAAGCTGAAGGGGTGGTGGCTGTGAAGAACTGGCAGAAGAATTCATGCTTCAAGACCTTGGCATGGAAAGCACGATTCTCCTGCTTTCAAAACAATGTGTAAAAACTGATGTTGAAAGCTCCCCACATCCCTCTGTCACAGTTCCTTTTCAAGAAGGACAACTCAATATTCCTGTCCATCACCCCGGCAGCTCAGGGGCAGACATCTGGAAGGTGGATTTAAAGGTTTCAATCTAAACCTCAGTGACTGAGTGACAGAGCTACTATAAGGATGATACAGTCATGTCAGATTTAGAGTACAGGGTGTCAAAGTTATGAAACGAAGGAGACTTGTTCTCGTGTTCCCACCTCACCAGTTGAAGATAGGAGAGCGTGTGGGATGCTGCAGGAAAGGCAATTTGGCTAAATGACACCTTTGTTTCTAAAACACATCCCTTTGTCCCTCTTTATTTTATGAAAAGACATCCAATGTTTGTGCATCGTTCAGAGACAAGCACAAAAGGACTAGTTTTTCTTCTGTTCTATTTGTCCAAGAAAAGGCTTTAGTCTTAGGAAAGCAACTGTGGCCTCAGTGCAATTTGACATTTCTGAGCACAGGCTGCAACCTCAGCCAATGCTCTCTTAAACACTGCTTTCATATGAACACTTTACACATGCTGTACACAACACATTCCAAATGAGCTTTTCATTACTAAGTACTTGTATTATGTATCAGTGAGCTCAATGACATTGATTTTCTAATAATATAAATTAACTGGCAAAGATAATTTCATCTACCATCAGTAGGGTCTTATTTCTGACACCATTTTAAATAGTTATTCTTTCAAAAGATTAAATCAAGAGCTTTTTAAAATTCAAGGCAGAGCTTAAACTGCTGTAAAGATCTTCTTAATTAGGATTAAAGCAGTTTGTGTGTTGTTGCTTTAGATCCAAGTAGTATAATATTTTGCTTAGGTTTCTTCTTTCAGAGCAATTTAAAAAAGCAAACATGCTATTGCTGTGGCAAAAGCTGCATAAGGCATAGATGACTCCTGCAACTTCCTCGACCAGATGCTACTGGATGAGTTGCTGCTCAGCACCCTCAAACAACCACCTCAAACTTTCCAGCATCTTTTACCTCCAATTCCATGCAATATATGCTTTTTCTACCACTGACAATACAAAAGCTCTGCTTCTTACGGTCACCAAGTACCTCACAGGAGACAGTCGTTGCTATTTGTAGGAGTATATTACATTATTTTGACTACAACTGCATTCATGTGGAATTACAGACCTGAAATAAACTCTTATGATTCCCCTGGGACATGCTCAGGTCAATCCCAGCTGAGTGTGTGCTGCTCCCAGGTGCCCCCCAGCAAACACTGCTCTTCCTTTTTTTCTCTCTGTCTCAGACATCAATGGGAAAAACAAGCTCCACTCTTCTGGAGTTGTCTGCAGCTCCCTGTTCCAAATTGCTTTCCTGCTCTTACTTCTCTTGACACAAGGAGCCCAATCCAAGGCAATTTTAGCCTCTAGTCCTAATCTCTTGTCTTTATATTATCAGAAATCACTTGACCTTTATTACCAAGGAGCCTTAAACAGCATCCAGAGGATAGGTGTGGTTGGGCCCAGGCAGGATAAGAAAACCCATGCAAGCAGAGATACCAATCTATATCATGCATTTCTAAAGTCTTCTACAAACAGTAGGCTGGTATTTCCAAGAAGCCATTTTTCATCTGGCAGAAGGAAAACAAACCCCCTGTTGCCACTTTCTGGACTCGGAACTGGGAGTGTTTATACATCTAGGGAGCATCATCTGTGTACTCAAGTGGTTCTGCAGAAATATCCAGGACAAGGCTTTACAATAACCCATGTGCTCATGCTACACTTCACACCTCAGCTATCTAACAGCTCACTGTGATATATGATAGTTTAGTGTGTGGTGTCCCTGCTCATGGCAGGGGGGGTGGAACTAGATGATCTTAAGGTCCTTTCCAACCCAAACCATTCTATGATTGTATGATAACCCTTTATAAAGCCGCTTGGATGCTTCAGGTGTGCTTACACCGGTGAGATATTGCTGGCCAGCAAGGAAATGCTTTTAAAGAAACATCCCTGAAAATATTCAGTGCTGTTTGATCACCTGGTTGTTTTACTTACCCCTGTCTTCTCATCGAAGATTTTGATTCCCCCAAAGGAGACTGTTAAGAAGATCTTTTGTTTATGTTCTCCTTTCGAACGAGCCGCAGCAACAATTCCCTATTGAAACAAAGAACAGTTTGGCTGGTTTCATTACTCTGCCAGATCCCACAGCATAGCACAAAGATTTGCTTGTGAACAATTCACCACTTTTCTAGGAAACTCTAAGGGCTTTCCAGGAACAGTCCCCCTCTTACTTCTGGCTTCCTCCCTTTTCTCAAGGTACCACATCTCTTTAGGCATTTCAAATGTGCTCCCACGTCCAACCCCTGCACTAGCTAATCCTCCATGAAATTCGTTGTCATGGAAGGAAGCTGAAGGTCATGTCTAGCACGCTTTTCCCAGCTACAAGCTGTTTTGTTTTCTTTCTTCTTTTAAAGAAAACAAACCAACAAGCAGTGGAAGTAAAAAAATGCCAACAAACCTTAGCTTACTTCATGGGCACATTCATCTGGAATAAGCAAATTGAGCTTTATATTTTGTTATTATTTATATTTTATTTATATTATAGAAGAAAAAATATTCTTCTCAAAATCAAACTACACCTCTACTGTAAAAAACTGGTATTGAGGGTTAGTTTTTTTCATGATTCCAGGCTTTTACTTTGTAAGTGAACTTGCTGATATGCTTCTCACATATTATTCTCCCACATAATAGTAACTTCTGTTTCTACCTTCTCAGGAGCCTGCCCTTACCAATAACACTGTCCTAAGATGAAATATAATTAATTGCACTAGTAAATTAATGAAGATATTTAGCCTTTATCTGGTAGTCTGCAATTTCAACATGTTTTTTATGTTGCATTTACAGACATTACACAGCCATGAAAATTAAAGTGAAAAATTCAGTCATTTATCAAAAGTCACCCCAAAACTTTATGGCTGGCTTAAACACCTACGTTTCTAGAGCCCATAACTTCATGCTATGCTGCCTTATACACAAACATGAATTCCTAATGCCCCCTTCCCTTAATAGTTGTAGTCATCTCCCAGTACTGTTTAGATCAATCTCGCCACCGTGCAGACAGGTATCAGGCAGCTGGGAGATGTGGAAATGGTAATCCATGGAGGAGAGAGACAAAAAGGCTTGTGCAGCAGAACAGTGACAACTCTCCCACGTTGCTTCTAGGAACTATGAAATGATGAGAAGTAGCCAGTATACAATTAAAACAGGCAGGAATATTGTGGCAGATGTGACATACCAACAGTGCACCTTTTAGAGTAGATTAGCTTCTGCTTGCCATAAATGTTTGTAACTGATTTGTAAATTATCTACCAGATCTTGCTTTTAGATTGTTGAACCGTAAGATGTATGTCACCCTTTGCTGTTTCTTCATGCATAATTTATTCCTCCCAGTTCCTTGGGACTGGAACCCTGCTGGTTGGGAGTGTAAAAGATATCATTTAGTGATTTCTCCTCCTGAAAAAACAAGCAACGGAAAATCCATCAGCTCTCTTGGCAGAGGGCTGGGGAGAGGACTGGAAGGAAAAAAACCCAAGGTTTTACTCCTAGACCTAGCTTGTAACCCTGTAATGCAGACAGGAAACTAACACTGCACTCAAGGAAAACACAACCTATCCTTCCTCCTCAGTGACCTCAGCTCTTCCAGATGTCCCAAGACAAGACAAAGGATGCTTCCTATAGAGAACTGTTATGCTTTTTGAGGGTTGTAAGAAAAGACTCAAAGAAGGATGTCTATCAGGCTCCAGAAAGTCCACCCTCCTACACCACTAGCGCTTTGAGACTGTCTACATTCTGAGTTTGCAGTCTGCTCAAAATCTGCCTTTGTCACTGCTCCGTTTCTTTCCCCAAACTCTGGGGACTCCTCTTAACCTTCTAATGCTCTGTCCTCTCAGTGCACTGCCTCCTGATTTTGTAAACCATCAACCCTGCCATTACAGACGCAAGACATTCTCCTCCCATTTAGGAGAGTAGTTCCTCTTTATATCTGGCTACCTACACCCCATACTCACCCCTTCCTGCCTATCCCGACAGGAGATAATGGTCAAAGGCAGGGCTGTAGTCAATTGGCACTGCCATATAAGATGTTCTGATATACCATTTTTCTTCATAGTAGTTTACCTCCTCTTTTGCATAATAGAATTATTCAATTTACAGATGGGTTGTTTATAATTTGTGGACAAACTGCAGTGGTGTCAGTCATGAATAACTACTGAACTCAGAGAGAAGGTACTTAGATTAAACTGGGATAAGCAACACCAGCCAGGAATTCATGTAAAATTGGCTGATTTCAATACATAATTAACCAGAGTGAGACTCAGTGTCATGAAAGGAGAATGAGTAAAAGTTCAAGCTGAAACTTGCTCCCCTTAATTCCATAATATTAAACATTAAAAGTTTCACTGCACCTTCAGCTTCATCATGGAGTCTTGGCATAACTTGTCTCCTCGTGCGGCAGAAACCTCATCTATCCCAATCAGTTTTGCTTTGTATCGAACACCGTCACCTTTAAACCTCTTTATTAAAGTGGCTTCACTGCGATCCTGACCTGAAAAGACATAAGGGAAACAAGGAAATTTACTTGAGTGCAGAGGAAAATAAATGAATAAATACTCACAATTAAGTGGCAAATTAGATTTAGCTCCTACCTCAACACCTTAACATGCAAACATTTCAATAAAATTAGAAGAAAATTAGTTCAATACAACCTCTTGGCCTTACTACCTCAAATGAATTCACAGTGGAATTGGAGCCATACAAAACCTTCCGCACGAAATTTGCACACAAATTAGGTTTACAGAAAGAAGAGATAAGCCTGCATCAGACCTCATGGATCTGAAAACTTCTCATCTGGATGGGTTGTTTTAATCCCAACACATTTGAGAATTCTTAATTTTGCAGACAAAACTAATAGAAACATGCTTTTTCCTTGTATACCAACTTATCTGACAGTATCAGCAATATTTACACTATTAACACTTGAATGATGGCAAACCAAATGATATTATTGGCCTGTAGAATATTGCTGCTCTCAACCCCCCACAAGTAATACTGTCTCCTTGTTCTATTCTTTCTGCTTATAGACATATACAGGAACAACATAACTAGCAAAGTCAGCTCACACAGGCTCAGCTCACCCTGAGAAGCTTAAAAAAAGGCACAAGATGTTTCTTAATATCAAAACAAATGGGGGGTAAGGTAGCATAGTACTGATAAGGCCATTTGCACTAGTTTTGGCTGGGATAGACTTAATTTTCTTCATAGTAGCTGGTACAGAGCTGTATTTTGGATCTGTGCTGGTAATGGTGTTGATAACAGAGGGATGTTTTAGCTATTGCTGAGCAGTGCTTACAGAGAGTCAAGGTCTTTTCTGCTATTCTCCCCATCAGTGAGCAGGCTTGGGGTACACAGGAAGTTGGGAGGGGACACAACTGAGACAGCTGACCCCAGGGATATTCCATTCCATAGGATCTCATGTTCAGCATATAAACTACAGGAAAAGTTGGCCGGGGGCCACTGCCTGGGGACGGCCTGGGCATCAGTTGGTGGTGAGCAATTGTTCTTCATTTGCATCACTTGTTGTTCTTCGGTTTTATTTTTCTCCCCTTTTTTTTTTTCTTTTGTTATTTTCCCTTTTAATTACAATTGTTATATTATTATTATTATCATCATAAGAAGCATGCTGCATTATTATAATAATCAAAAGAAGCTGCATCCCCAGAGTGTGAGCAGCAGGTCAAGAGAGGGGATTCTCCCCCTCTACTCTGCTCTGGAGAGACGCCCCCAGCCCTGTGCTGTGTCCAGCTCTGGGGCCAACAACAAAAGAGGGACTTGGAGCTGTTGGAGCAAGTCCAGAGGAGGCGCCGGAGCTGTTGCGAGGGCTGGAGCAGCTCTGCTCTGGAGCCAGGCTGAGAGAGCTGGGCTGGGGCAG